AGACCTGCATTTAGAATTTATTTAGATTTCGTTTGGTTGATACTTTTATTATTTACTATTTGCTTAAGCATAATAAAACTTGTTAAGGAACAATGACTTTAAAGTTAAGGGTGAAAGTGAGACCAAGGCAGAAGTTAACGTCTAAATCTCTAAATAGTTTTGCATGGTCTTAACAATGATAAAGTAGTTTTAATTATATCCAGGTGGTGCTGCACTGTGATAAGGGCTAAACCCTTTCCCAATCACACTTTCCCTGCCTTTGTATTACCTTTTTATAGTGTTTTACAAGGTTAATTAAAGGCAGTAAACAAAGAAGTAAAAGTTGCAGTCTGATTCAACTAGGACATTGATTTCTCCACCTCTTAGGTCCACAAGAGAATTGTCATTGGTAACATCAAAATGATAAATTAGGCTTAAGAAATGTTGCCAATAAGTTGCTAGTTTGCATCTCAGAAGTTCCGTGCAGTCCATTTGCTTCTTTGCCGGACCCAACTCTATCCCTCTTATTCTAGCTGCAAAGTTCAGAGAGCATAGGGTCTGACCAAGGTCATTCTCCTGAGGACTGATTTGTACAAACATGGGTGTCTTTGAATCTCCTCCTAACAAACATAAACCTAATTATCAGGCTTTTCACCTCTATCTCTGTGGAAATCCTATGAAAGAAATAACAGAAGTTTGACCATGAAAGTAAAAAATAAAGGAAATTTAAACTTGACTTGTTTTTATCATTTATGTCAGAGTAATTTCCTTGTTAGGGCTATAAAGATAAAAATGTACCTAGAGAGTCTTGAAGCAAGTGTGTAAGCTTTGAATTCCTGCATGATTAAATTACAGTTAAGTTTAAAACCTATGAAACACTACTGATTTTTATGTTCTTAATAACTTAGAAGTACTCATCTCTGCATTTTTATAACCTGAAAGGAATGTGAGGGCTTTTAGTAGCAAGAGCAGATATGACACCGCCGAGTGTAGACAAGGATCTGTTAATATTTTGAGTTTCCTTGAGTCTTTCTCCATGCACTTCTGTTTTTGCTACTCGTTCACTTCCAGCTAGGTCCACCAACCATAGCTTGCTCTTTGTGCATTCCCCATTCAACAAATTCTCTCCCTTAACCATCACACAATGTAGGCTGCATCAAGAGTGAACCATAAGCTGGCATTTACCTGTGTTTAAACACATTTTGTGCAACGAGTACTGAATTTAAAACCAACTGTGAC